ATTTCGTTTCACATCTTATAATGATTTCAAAAATTGAAACAAAACATAAAAATTTAAAAAAAACAAAACAAAAAAACAAAGTTGGGGGGCATGTGCCCCCAGGTCCATCCCTAGGTCCGCCAATAAGTACTCCATCATTTGTCAATTTAAAATACAATCGATTTTTTCATTCAATCTTTTCACTCCACATTATTTTCGACAACGGCTTATGTACTATTTTGATATACAAGTAGCAAAATCCTTTTAAAAATTGAAGTGTGAGTTGGGGTTCATATTCATGTTCATGAAAATTTACTATTAATTAAATCAAGGAATAACTGCAACAGCTATCACAAACCTTTGTATTTTTCGTAGTATTTATCTCAACAATCACTTTGTGCTACTTACAGTTTCAAACCTTTCATTTTGTTGCAGTATAAAGACAAATGGATGACTGTTAGTTGACAAAAAAAAAAAGGTGGATTTTGACCAATTTTTGACTCAACTGAAAATGGTAAAATAGTATATTTTTATTTCCCAAATATTAATCATTAATTAAACAAAAAAAAAAGAAAAAAGAAATTTGCCCCCACCCCACTTTACCTTCATCTTCTACTCAACAGACATCAGTAGCCAAGACTACACCGCCACTCTCTTCTTTTCCAAGCCCACTACATCTTCTCATCTACCTACATGTTGTAAAACAAATAAGATACCAGAATAGCTCTGATACCAATTGTTGCGGAACAAACCACATGATTAAGATATTGAAGTTATATGGCAAATAATAATGAAATATTTGATCATATAATTCTAGTAATCTATTTTTTCACATTATAAAATTGTATAGAACAGCCTAGTATTTATATGGAATAAGTAGGGGATGTCCAAACCTACATAGTAGAGTTGTTGATAAAGTAGGATACCATAAAATCGAGTCAAAAACAAATTTCAACTCCCAATGGGCTTCCAAAATAGAATTTCAACATGACATATGAATCCAATAATATTCCAAATTTGAATTCTTCATGACGTGCACTTCAATTAAAATTCTTCAATTATTTCATCAAAGAATTCGAGTCATACCCAAATTCTAACAATCTCCACATTGACACGAATTCCACCAAGGAATGAACTGGTTTCTTCAATGATAACCAAAAAAAAATTTCTCCAACCAAATATAAAATACTCCATCTCTTCAAATGAATCCAAGCACTACTCTGCAAAATTGACTTAGATTCCCAAAAATCATAATGATTTTATAATTTATCAAAATGGGCTATAACGCAGCCTAAAGCAAAATCAATACCAAATGGTTTTACAGAAGGCTCCTTGCTAGATTG